GGTTTGATTGATCTACCAATGATAGGGAGAAGATTTACTTGGTGTCAACCAAATGGCAATGCAATGAGTAGACTCGACAGATTCCTGCTATCAGAAGATTGGCTACTAAAATGGAAAGACATGAAACAATGGGGCTTGAAAAGAGACATCTTAGACCATTGCCCTGTTCTGTTGAAAAATGAGGTGAAGAATTGGGGCCCCAAACCATTCCGCTTATTCAATGCTTGGCTCCAACATCCTGAATTCAAGCCTAAGGTTGCTGAATTATGGAAGACAACTCACATTCAGGGTTGGGGTGGCTACATCTTGAAACAAAAATTGAAAGAAACCAAATCCTTCTTGAAATGCTGGAGTAAAGAGAAATTTGGTGAGCTGGACAAGAAGATTGAGAATTGTAAAGAAACCATTGCTACCTTAGATGACAAAGGGGAAGTTTTTACACTTTCAAATGATGAATTGGAGACACGGAGGCAAGGCACCATGGATCTTTGGAGAATCTTGCAGGATAAGGAGAGCATGCTAAAACAGAAATCCAGGTTATACTGGATTAATTCTGGTGATGCAAATACAAGATTTTTTCATCAAAGCATCAAACAAAGATGGCGACATAATGAAATTAACTACCTGGAAATAAATGGTGTTCAGCTTCAGGATGTTGAGGAATTACAACAGGGGGTGGCAGAGCATTTTGAGCTTATGTTCAAAGAAGATGAATGAAGGAGACCACGGTTGGATGGTATTGAGTTTAACAAATTATCAACAGAGCAGAATGCCACATTAATCTCACAGTTTACAAAGGAGGAAATAAAAAAAACAATATGGGCTTGCAACAGCTCAAAAGCTCCGGGTCCTGATGGTTTCACTTTTGGCTTTTTGAAGACTATGTGGGAGGATGTGCGGAAGAAAATCTATGATTTTGTGGCTGATTTTCAAAGAAATGGGAAGCTAGTAAGGGGCTCAAATGCCTCTTTTATTGTCCTCATCCCAAAAAAGGAAAATCCTATCAGAATTGAAGACTACCGACCGATCTCCTTAATCGGGTGTATGTACAAACTCATTTCAAAATTACTAGCCAACAGGCTAAGCAAGGTGATTGAGGGTTTAATCGGGGAAAACCAGTCAGCATTTATAGCTGGAAGGTTGTTGGTTGATAGTGTCATTGTGGCAAACGAAACTATAGATGAAATCAAGCAGAAGAAAAAAAGATGCTTCATTTTTAAAGCTGATTTTGAGAAGGCCTTTGACAAAGTCTCCTGGGATTTTCTAGACTACATGATGTCTCACATGGGGTTTTGTGATATTTGGAGAAAATGGATAAAGGAATGCCTCAGCTCTAGTACAGTTTCAGTTTTGGTTAACGGAAGTGCCACAAAGGAGTTCAAAGTTAGCAAAGGTCTTCGTCAAGGGGATCCCCTATCCCCCTTCCTTTTTCTCATTGTTGCCGAAGGTCTAAACGGCATTATCAATTCGGCTGTCTCAAAAAGCCTATTTAATGGAGTTCAAGTGGGGTCTAGCAATGTCACCATTTCACATCTACAATTTGCCGATGACACCATCTTATTTGGTGAAGCAAATGAGCAGAACATCAAAGCAGCCAAAAGCATAATGAGGACCTTCGAACTGGTTTCAGGGCTTAAGATCAACTACAACAAAAGTACTTTGATCGGAATCAATGTGGACACAGAAGAGATAAATCATTTTGCATGCTTTCTACATTGCAAGCCTGGAAAACTCCCTCTGATGTACTTGGGCATGCCAGTTGGCACATCTTTGAGGAGAAAGAGCACATGGTCAACACTGGTGGCAAAATTTGAAAGAAAACTGACTGGTTGGAATAACAGATTTCTATCCATGGGTGGTAGGATTGTTTGCATTAATTTTGTGCTTTCTAGTCTTCCCGTGTTCCTAATGTCTGCTTACTTGATTCCTATGGGTGTGATTAAGAGGATTGACTCAATTAGGCGGGCTTTTCTATGGGGTGGTTGTGAGCTACCAAAAAAAATAGCCTGGGTTGGGTGGGAGAAAATTTGCAAAAACAAAAAGGATGGGAGGTTAGGCATTAAGGACCTTAGGAGATTTAATTTAGCTCTACTAGGGAAATGGTGGAGTAGACTCACAGATGAGAGTGTGGGGTTATGGAAAAAAATCTTGAGTGCAAAATACAATAGGGAGGGACACAATTGGAGCAACTGGATGAGGGAAGGCAGTAAGGGAGGGTCACAGTGGTGGAGAGACATTAGTAGTATAAATCAAGTGTTATTTGAAAAAATGGACTAGCTAAAAGCTAGTTTCAAAATTAAATTAGGTGAAGGAAGAAATATATCCTTTTGGCATGATAAGTGGGCTAGAGATAATAGTTTGAAGGACTTGTTCCCCAAACTTTTTTCTTTGTCTATTGATAAATGCAGCTCAGTTCACCAAATGGGATATTGGATTGGGAATTCTTGGAGCTGGAATCCAAGATGGAGGAGGCAATTACATACATGGGAGGAAAGCCAGGTGGATGACCTACAGCACATATTAAACTCAAACAATCCAAAGAAGATAATGGAGGATAAATGGTGCTGGATACATGAAAAAGATGGTCATTATTCTGTTAGATCTGCTTACAGGTTGCTAACATCCAATGAAGTCGAAGAAGGTTCAAAGACTCTAAATCAGTGTTGGAACCCAATAGTGCCAAACAAAGTTTGCACTTTTGCGTGGCTGCTGTTACAAGACCGTATACCAAGCAAAGCTAACCTGCTGAAGAGGAACGTCATCAAGGATGCTCTGGATGCAAGGTGCGTGTTTTGTGGGAATATAATTGAAGACGCAAATCATTTAATGTTGCAGTGTGATTTCTCCTATAAAATTTAGACCCAGTGTTTTGAATGGTGGGGTATCCAGTATGTTCTGCACAACAATTGCAAGGCGGTGTTCACCCAACACACATGGGCAGCAAAAAACAAAAAGGGATGGCATATTGTCTGGTATGCAATCACCTGGTCACTTTGGTTAGCAAGGAATATTGCAATTTTTGGTGAAGGCAAAATGACTACAGATTGTGTGCTCAAAATGATACAAAACCAATCCTATCTTTGGATAAGTGGAAACACAGAAGGATGGCCTTATTCCTTTCTTGACTGGTGCCAAAAACCAAGCAATTGCTTTATAACAAAACGATGTAAAAATTTCTAATTTGTTGGTGCTAGTTCACTAACAAATCCTTTTCCTATGTTTATGGGTTGAGTACCCCTTGTACTCTTTTAATAAAATTATCTCCTTTGGCTTTTCAAAAAAAAAATTAAGGTCATATAAGTTGTAAATTTAACTGACTTTAATGATCATTTACCTGAACCGCAACATCAGACTTACAAGGACCTTCGAACCTAGTAGGATATAGTAAGTATGTCTTGCCCTCTGGAATAATGAGTGAAGGATTTTTTGATGTTAAACCACAAACATCTTTCCATGCCTTAATAAAAGCCTTTAAAATAAGCGCCAATATATTACTTTAATTTCCAATATCTGTGAAAGATAAATTAAAGAGAATATGAAAGAGATAACTAAAAAGAATATATACTTTTGAGTCCTCTGACTTTCCATCTCCAATTGCTCCATACTTTGTCACATCAAAATTTTGAGAATAAACCAATGTAGCCAAGGACAAAAGTATTGACAGTATGCTCAAAAGATCCTGCATCAACAATAAATTAAAAATAAATATATTTATTTAATAAGTTTTAGATAAATAGCTAGAGCTTATGAGAAAAATTCTCCACCATGCTGATAGAAGCACAAATCATT